TTTTCATGTTTGCCACTTGAAGGGTGTAGAGAGGGATAACAGTGAGAATACTCTTGAGAAGGGTGATCCTTTCACCATTAGATAAGTAAGAATTTGACCACCCCTAAAGGGTAGAATTAATTTTATCAATGACTTCATCAAATTGGGTTTGTTTGGTTCTGCCTCTAACTAGTTGAGTGCCCAGATATTTGAATGGCATGCTCATAGTAGAGAAACCAGTGAACTCAGTCAACCACTGTCTGATAGAAACTGGAACTCTCTTGCTGGTAAGGATCTGGCATTTATCTTTATTAACTTTGAGACCAGACACCTTTTGAAACTTATTCAAGCATTCATCAAGGTATCTAGTAGCAGCCTTTGTTGCCCTAGTGAAAATAAGGATATCATCAGCATAAATGAGATGAATTATATCCATCTTAGCTTTATTGTGATAAGCATTGAAGCATTTCTTATTCTCTTGGCTATCAATGAGTCTTGATAAGTAATCCAACACCAGGATGAAAATAGTAGGGGAAAGAGGATCTCCTTGCTTGAGACCTCTATTTGTTGTAAAGAACCCATGAGCTTTTCCATTTATGAAAATAGAATTGGTATTGGTCTCAAGCCATATTTTAATGGTCTAGCAGAACTCCCTAGAGAACCCTCTAGCCTCCAAACATTTCATAATAAAATCCCACTTTACCATATCACAAGCCTTCTTCAGATCTAGCTTGTAGATTACATTGCCACCTCTGCAAGGTTTCTCCAAGTCTTGTAAGAGCTCTTGAGCAAGTAAAATGTGGTCTCCTATACTTCTTCCTTTCACAAAAGTAGCTTAGTTAATACTAATCAATGTGGGTAGAGCTGGCTGAAGTCTGTTTACCAGGATTTTGCTTACCATCTTACTGATAACATTGGTGAGACTCAAGGTTCTGAACTGATTCCAACAGTTTTTAATAGATGTCTTAGGAATAAAGACAATTGATGAAGCACAGAAATAATTGGGGAATGGATGACCTTTGACGAACTATTGGATAGCTTGAATAACCTCCACCTTAATTTCCCCCCAAGCTTTTTTATAGAAGTCAGAAGTGAAGCCATCAGGACCAGCAGATTTGCTACTATCTATGGAATTTAAAGCTCTTTGAATCTCCTCCTCCTCAGAAATGTCATTCAGATTTAGATGTGCAGTGTGCTTTTTGCTTTCAGAAAATAAAGTATTGTCTATCTAGCCTCTATCTGTGTTGTGTTCAGTCATGAGGTTTTGGCAGTAATTGACGGCACTTTCAATAATCTCCTCCTCCTTCCTGATCCAATTTCCATTCTGATCTTTAATGCAATGGATAGTGTTGCATTTTCTCTAGTACTTAATACAGGCATGATAAAATTTGGTATTTCTATCCCCTTCAGTAAATTTATTCTTGGCAGCCTTTTGCTTAAGGAAATGGTCTTGCCAGTTTACAGCAGTAAGCACTTTTTCATTGGCCTCTAAAAGACCAATTTCATCAGTCTTCCCCTTGTTGTGCTCCTCCTCCAGGTCAAGCAGCTCCTTTTCATCCTTATCAACCACCTTTAATAAATCTGTCTCCAAAAGTGTTCCAACTCCAATGTTTAAGAGCTTTCCCCACCTTTTCTTGATTTTGCCACAGATTGATGAATGGGTCAGGGTGAGAAACAACCTTCCAATTATCTTTAACAATCTGCAGGAAATCCTTATGTTGAGACCAAACATTCAAATACCTAAAAGCACTCTTTTGACAACTGTTGTTAGAACCAATGGTGATCAGCAAAGGCCTGTGATCAGAACCAGCAAGACTTAAGTGAGTTATAGTAGTCTGCAAGAAGTTTTGAATCCAGTGGTCATTGGCAAAGACTCTACCCAGTCTTTCCCACATATTTTTCCTTCTCTAGGTGAAGGCTGAGCCACTAAATCCAAGATCAAATAAACTAGTTTTTTGAATGTTGTCATTGAAGTTGGATATAGTTACAGAATTGGGAGTTCTTCCCCCTTCTTTCAGCGGAGTTCTTCCCCCTTCTTTCAGCAGGAGAAGAAATGCAATTAAAATCCCCTCCCACAATCCAAGCTTTATCAATGGAGACTTGTATGTTTTGGAGAGTCTCCCACAACTCAATTCTTGCAGTTTTGGAATTGCCAGCATAAACAAAAGAAGCAAAACCATCCATGCCATCAGTACTAATACTCATATGAGGGACTTGGTGGTGGCTAACTAAAATAGAGCACTTCATTTCTTTCCTGCAGAGAAACCAAATTTTGTTATTAAGGTTAGTGATAAGGTTGAAGCCAGGGAAAGCTTTAGCAATATTGTTAGTATTGATATGAACCATAGGTTCCAAATATGCCAAACACCAAAATTTATGCTTTTTTTAAGATATTTTAGTCTTTTAAAAGATAAGGGGTGGGCAATCCCCCTTATGCTCCAGCATAGCATATTTATCATGGGGAGGGGGGATGGATTGAAGGTTGAGATCTAGATCTAGTTCTCCCTCTTGGTTTAGTGATACTTCCTCTCCTTTGGGTGCTAGGATCATCATTGGTTGATGATTCCTCTTCCTTTCCCTTTTTCTGATCTTCTTGTTTAGTATTTCTTTTATTTCTTGTTTTTTGGGTCTGCCATTCTGATTCCAATTCTTTATTCAATTCTGAAACCATAGCTTCAATAGGGGAAGCCACCTCCTCTCTAGCCACAAGATCCCTAGTAGTTCTATGAGCCTCAATAGGGTCCCTTGAGTTGACTTGAACTGTGAGATTTCCAGTTCTATCTGTCTTCAAAGCCACTCCAGTTGTGTCTCTCTTCTTGGCTGAAGGAGGCCTAAACTACTGGCTCTTGGGAGAGAGTTGATCAGTATAAAAAGTTTTTGTTTCTGCTGTTCCTGTCAACTTAGATATCTGATGATGATTGTTTTCGTTCGTTTTTCTCTCTTTTATTTTAAAAGAAGTCGCCAGCTTGTCGATCGTCGTACTTCCCCCATTCAAGTAAATCTCCCTCCCGAATCATATATCTGAATCATATATGTGATTCAAAAAGAACAGGAATCGAATAAAAAGGGACATACAACAAAACGAAAGCAAGAGAAAACACAAAACGTGGCAAGATAAAACACAAAACGTGGAGAGCCTACGTGATGTAAACCTCGCAAGGATAGGTTAAGAGTGTCCGTCCAAACAAGATCGGGCGAAAGCACCTTAAACCAATATCCGCGAAAGAATACCTACGTAGACTACCCATAACCAGAGATTCAGGTGTAGGTGCCTGTTCTGGGGTCAAGAGCACTC